AGTCCGCGTATCTGTCGTCGACTCGACGAGAGAATCAAGTCTGGGGTAGATCCATTCTGTAGTCGATCCCCTACTCGATTCCTGGGGCCCACCTGACAGATATGTTCGACTCCAGTTCGACTCCAGCCGACGGACCTTCGGCGCAGCTCCGGCGCAGGAGTGGAGCGAGTGGCTCTGGGAAGGTCCCCAGAATGTCACCACCCACCACCCCCAACCTAACCCGAGGGCTGTAATTTGCTCTCCATTTCCAGGGGAGGGGGGGTCGGGGAACACTGACAAAACCACATGTGGAACCAGTAACCCCCCTGACCCGAAATTCGGGTCTTTGGGTGTGGTTGGGGTGGTCTGGTGGGCCGTCAGCATGAGCATCCGACCTCTCCGCCAACTTCGCGGAGAGCCGCCGCTTCCCCTGGCCCTTCGTGGCCCACTGGCTCGCGGCCAGCCCGGGCGGCGAGCGCCTGCTGGTGGCGGGATGCGGCGACGGGAGGCACGTGGCGGCGGCCCTGGAGCAGGGCGGCTTCGGCGAGGTGCTCGCGCTGGACCTGTCGCAGGGCATGCTGCGGGCCGCCCGGTCGCGGCTGGGGCCGGAGCGCTGCGCCGAGGTTCGGGGGCGGCCAAGTGGGGGTGGATATCATGGCGGAGGCCATACTATTTCCCCGATATTTCATGGCGCCTCTTCTTGTTTCATGACGTCCCCGGCCCCCCCCCCCTGGGCCGCGCACATTCCGCCGGCCATGATTTGCGCACCCAAAACCCCCTTGGACGCCCCCCTCTTGGCCGCACCTTAGAGGTGGCGCAGTTCATCCACGCCGACGTGCGGGACATCCCGCTGCCCTCCGGCTGCGTGGACGCGGTGCTCTCCTGTAGGGGAGCAGACAAACAATGGCACAATCATAAAGACTCGGAGGTCCGTGCGGATGTCTGGGATCCGCGCGGACCTCTGAGTTTGTATGTCTATGTCATTGCTTGCTCCCCTCTCAGAATGTTCCGGAACGCTCCGAGAAGGCCGCCAGGCGCCCGAGACGCCTTCCCGAGCCGCCGGATCTCTCCGAGATTCTCGATTCATCTTCGCCCGACTTTTTCTCCTCGCCCTGGCTTCGCGTCAGGTGCTCTCCTGCGCCGTGCTGCACCACCTTCCCGGCGCGGAGTCGCGGGACGCCCTCGGGGAGTTCGCGCGCGTGCTGAGGCCCGGCGGCCGGCTGCTCGCCTCCGCGTGGGACCCGCGCGCGCGGGCCGTGGCCAAGCGCGGGCGGCCCGTGGGCGGGGGCGACCCGCACGCCTACTGGGTGGCGTGGCGGTGCGATGACGGCGGCGACGTGGACCGGTGGTACCACCTGCCCCCGCTGCCCGAGCGCCGGGAGCTCTGGCGCGACGTGCCCGGGCTCGTGCCCGCCTCGGAGCCGTGCCTGGACCGCGACAACCAGGTCTTCGAGTGGACCAGGGCACTCCAGGCCAGAGAGAGTCGGGCGGCGGCGGCTCCGCTCCGTGGGGAGGGGCGGGAAAAAGAAGGCCTCTTCCCTCCCGGCCTGGTACGCTGGCGCTTAAGGAGCGTGGCACTTTTTCGGCTGACAAGGTCGTGCACCTTGCTTCCGCAGACGGCCCACCCTCCTCCCATCTCCCTCCTCTCTCCTCTCTCTCTCCTCTGGACAACCAACTACTCAGTATGAGTACTACTCGCTTCCGACTACGTCCTGGAAGTGTTCCGCCCTATCCGTGAGTATGTGTGTGTGTGTGCGTGTGTGCGTGCGTGCGTGCGTGCGTGCGTGCGCGCGCGCACGTGTGTGTGTGTGTGTCGCTCCCGCCGCTTTCGCTCCCGCCGCTTTCGACGTACTCCGCCTCTTCGCTGCGCGCGAGGCCGCGACCGCCCAAAAGTGTGTATGTGTGTGTGCGCGTGTGAGGGAGAAAGAGCGAGTGATTTTCTTTTACACACACAAGATTGCATCATTTGATGGTTTCAATATTTCTGTCAATCGGAATGTTTTCGGTGACTCGAGATGGTGTCCCCTCTGCAGCGTGGGCCACATTTCATGATCTGTGCTTTGCTCCCGTCGTTCAGAATGGCACTCTCGCCCCAGCGCGGGCCACTTTTTTGGATCCGAGTGCTTCCTCATCTTTGTCGCCCCACTCCTTTCTCCTCGTCCACCTTCCTCTGGCCATCCTGCTCTTCCCGCTCCTTGAACTCCTGCTCCTGCTGCTGCTGCTGCTGTTTCTCCTCCTCCTTCTCATCCTCCTGCTCTTCCGCCACCTCTCCTCCAATGTACGCAGTTTCCCTTTTCTGAAAGCGCATGGGACGATGGGGTCCTTTTTTGGGTTCCAGGTCCTCGGCGAATCGAGAAAGCATCAACGCCGTGGAAGGGAAGGGATAGGTGAGATGGACAGGATGTCAGGTATTGCACGAGCGCGCCCAGCTTGCCTCCTCCTCTCGGGCTGTCTGTCGTATTCGAGGAATGTGGCACTCCCTCAGCAGACAAGCTCGTGCACCTCGCTTCCGCGGACGGCCCATCCGACCCCTCCTCCCTCCCCCCCTCTCCCCCCCTCTCCCCTCCCTCTCTCCCCCCTCCCGCCTCCCTTCTCGCCGGGGTGGTCGGCTGGGGCCGCGGAGTTTCTTTGCCCGCCAGACGGGGCGGCTATGCTCACAACCGAACATTAAGGTTTGTGTTGGATGCCTCCGCCTGGTGTTGTGAGTGGCTGGTGGGGCAGAAACGGTCATCACGTTTGGGGGCTTTTCGACCTCGAACTTCTGGATTCCCCCCCCGCCTGAACTCCGGCCCGAACCTTTTTTATGTGTATTCCAAGGATGACCGTTTCTGCCCCGCTCAGCCGCTTGCAAGCCTGGCGGCAGTTGGACTGCCCCTGACGTCGCTGTGGCTTCTGACGGGTCCACTGGCCCGTTCGGCCCGATCCGATCCGTCCCTCCTCCCAAAAGGGGGCCCTGCCTGTCCAGAGTGGCACGGGCATGTCCGCGTGCCTGGCAGCAGCGCCCCTTCTCCCTGCTTCTTCCCTCCCTCCTTCCCTCCTTCCCTCCCTTCCCTCCCTCCCCCCCTCCTGCCTTCCCCCGCCCTCCCTCCCCTTCCTCCCTCTCGTCCCTTCCCCCTCCCTCTCTCCCTCCTCGCTTTCCTCCCTCCTCCCTTCTCCCTGCTCCTTCCCTCCCTCCTCCCCCCCTACCTCCCTCCCTCTCTCCCTCCTCCTCTCCCCGTCCCTCCCTCCCTTTTTTTTTTTTTTTTGCTCTCTCTCTCTCTCTCTCTCTCTCTCTCTCTCTCTCTCTTTTTTTTTCTCTCTCTCTCTCTCTCTCTCTCTCTCTCTCCCTGCCTCCCTCCCCTCTCCCTCTCTCCCTCCCTTCTCCCTACCCCCCTTCCTCTCTCCTCCCTTCCTCCTTCCTCATCTCCATACTTCGAGTGAGCTGAACTCAGCCGTGCTGCCGTTCGACGACGACCTCCCTCCCTCTTTCCTCTTCCCTACCTCCCACCCTCGTCCCTGTTCCCTCCTGCCTCCTTCCCGCCACCTGCCTCCTCTCCCTCCCTCCTCTCCTCCTCTCTCTCCCTCCCTCCTCCTCGTCGTCCTCCTATTTCCTCCTCCTGTTCCTCTCCTCCTCCTATTTCCTCCTCCTCTCCTTCTCCTCTTCCTCCCTCCTCCCTCCCTCCTCTCTCCCTCCCTCCGTCCCTCCCTCCCTCCTCCTCCTCCTCCTCCTTCTCCTCCCTCCTCCTCCCTCCTCCTCCTCCTCCTCCTCCTCCTCCTCCTCCTCCTCCTCCTCCTCCTCCTCCTCCCTCCTCCTCCTCCTCCTCCTCCTCCTCCTCCTCCTCCTCCTCCTCCTCCTCCTCCTCCCTCCTCCCCTCCCCCCCCTCCCCCTCCTCCTCCTCCTCCTCCTCCTCCTCTCCTCCTCCTCCTCCTCCTCCTCCTCCTCCTCCTCCTCCTCCTCCTCCTCCTCCTCCTCCTCCTCCTCCTCCTCCTCCTCTCTCTCATAAAGCCTCTGGCGCCGGGAGAGGGCCTGCCCCAGAGAAGAGGACGGTCACGTGGCCTGGTGGAGAGCCCCCTGGCGCGTCCAGAGGGGCACCGCGAGCGGCGCACTAGACGCCCCCCAGGGGGTCAGCTCTTCGCCAGCCCTGCTCCTGGTCGGTGACTCGGGGGCCCCCACCGTGTGGTGAGTCGGTGGGGATTCGAGGTCAGCGCACGGTTTTGGGACTCGGGTCGTTCTCCGAGGATGTCTCGGGCGACTGGGGCCTCCAGGGTCCCAAGATCGTGCGGTGACGGACCGTGCGGTGACAGACCGTGCGGCTCCTGGTCGGTGAGACGTGACGTCGGGCTGGTCACCTTTCTTAGGGGAACGAAGGATGACATAAACATAAGAACTCGGAGGTCCGCGCGGATTTCTCGGATCTGCGCTGGACCCCCCATCGAGCGCGCCAGGGGCGGCGCCGGAGGCGCCACCAGGGGCGTCCAGCGCGGATCGGAGACATCCGCGCGGACCTCCGAGTTTTGTATGTTTGTGTCATTCATCGTTCCCCTATTTCTGTGCTCTCTTGGGAGGAGTGGGATGATGATGATGAGGAGGAGGGAGGAGGAGGAGGGGGAGGAGGAGGGGGAGGAGGAGGGGGAGGAGAAGGGGGAGGGGAAGGGGGATGATGATGATGATGATGATGATGATGATGATGATGATGATGATGATGATGATGATGATGATGATGATGATGACGATGATGACGATGATGACGATGATGACGATGATGATGAGGAGGAGGAGTAATACTATTAATAATGAGCATATTAATACATGATAATAATAAGAATAATCATACACATAACATAAACATAAGGATGATCATAAGCATAAGCAGAAACATAAGCATACACATAGTCACAATACTATTAATACAAACAATATTAGTCATAATAGTAAGCGTACTAGCAATAATAATACGACACGTAATATCAATACTCATGATTAGACTAATACGGATACTAATAATAATCATAATAATACTAGTAATACGAATCATAACAATAATAATCATAGGGATGATACTATTAATCAGAAGGGGGTCAATAATCATACTACTAACTAAGACTAATCAGATGTCGAATCATTGTAATAATATTAATAATAATAATAATAAGACGAATAAGAAGAGGAGGAGGAGGAGGAGGAGGAGGAGGAGGAGGAGGAGGAGGAGGGATCCCGGCGCCGCGCTTTTTTGCACACCAAGTGCGCCCTCGCTGGGCCTCGGGCCCGCGGGGCCTCGCGGACGTCGGCGTCTGGCCCGAGAGAGTTGCGCGCCGCAGGACGGCGAGTTGTCGTGCCTCCCAGGCCCCCGACGCCGTGTTTTTGTTCGCAGCGTCGACCCCCAGGTCCTGGGAGCAGTTGGTGGGCCTCTTGGGGACCTTTGGGGGGCCTATTGGGGGCCTCTTTGGGGCCTCTTTGGGGTCTCCCGTGGCCTCTTGGGGGCCTTTTGGGGCCTCCTGGGGGCCCATCGGGGCCGAGGGCTCGAAATGTCAGGGCCCCCTCTTGTGGCCGTCTTTGGGCCTCTTGGGTCGTCTTGGGTGCCTCTTGGGCCGCGTTGGGGGCCCCCCGCCCAGGAACCCGTTTCTCCTCCGTAGTCGTTTTTCGACGGTCCCGGTGGCCCGGTGAGCGCCCCAGGAGGCCGAGACTCGTGAAGAGCAGCCGCCAGTCGTGTTTTTTGTTCGAAGCGCGAGGGGTCTGGGCTCTTGGCGAGGTTGCGTTTCTGTCTGCGTGGTCGCGGCGTCGGATCCGAGTGTCTCTGCCTCTCCCGTCGCCCGTCCCAGTCAGGGGCGACGAGGCGAGGTAGGATTAAGTCGGGCATGTGCCTCTACAGGAGGAGTTTTCAAAAGTACAAAAAAATAGTCAGGGGCCGAGTGTTTGACTAGTTTTGAGTATTTCTGAATCTTTTTTTTGGGTGTTTTTCAAAATCCGCCTGTAGGGGGACGCCCGACCTAACGATAGGGGGGATGGGCATAGGCGGGATGTATCGACTCCCCCTCGCCCACTGATCGCCGATGGTGGCCCGCCCCGCCCCGCCCCGCCCAGGAACGTGCGCCTGCACCATCGGGGGCCTATCGCAGAGTCTGTCGGCGATGCATCGGCGATCCCAGGTCGATGCTTCTCTAGGTGTCCACATGCGAACCCTACCCCTACCCCCCACGACTTTTGAAGAGGGTGGGGTTCACTTCGTTCGAGAGCTCCTGAACGAAGTGAACCCCACCCTCCCGTTTAAAAATCGTGGGGGGTAGGGGTAGGGTTCGCATGTGGCCACCTATTCTTCCCCCCCCCCCCTGTGCCGGCCCCCCCCCCTCCCGTGGCCCCGCCCCAGGCAGCTGCAGTGGGACCTCAGCCTCGAGGTCCCGCCGCACAGGCTCAACGGCGCAGGACGGGCGGCCTCCGCGCCGGCGCCCCTGCTGGCGGGGCTCCCCGCCCTGGTGGTGGGCCTCCCCCTCCCCTCGCGGCTCGAGGGCCCGGACGCCCTCGCGCGGTGAAGAACACCCGACGGGAGGCTTGTCGCTGTTTTCGGCCTCGGGGGGCCCCCACCAGGCCTCGGGACCATCAAAAATGACTCAGGATGAGAAAACGGTCCCGGAGAAGGCGTACGGATCTCTGGGGTCGACGTTACGCTTTGACGGTCGGGACCGTTCGAAAGCGAATCGGGATAGAAAACCTGTCCTGGGGAATGGGTCCAGACCTCCAGGGGTTGACGGGGTGAAAAATCACGACTTCGGGTGTTAAGGGGAGCGAGCTTCGAGGATCGAGCTTTCTATCTGGCGTCTCCGAGCCTTTCAGGGCCTCCGGAAGGCGTCTCCCTGCCACAGCTAGATTTCCCTCTCGATGATCCTCAGGCCGTGCGTTAGCACAATGTGCGTTTTCCCTCGCATAGTTCCGCCGATAGGACGCAGCGTGCGTCGACCCTCAGTACACCGCATGTGTCGTATCGAAGGGCTTCGGTAGAAAAAATAAGGTAGCGCTAACACGCATTCTGAGCATCGTCGAACCCTCCAGGGTCCATTTCGATTCGATCTAGCCGATTCGACATCGATTCTGGCCGGCCCGATCTGGTCAGATTCCAGTATTCCGACGATTCGATACGGCCCGATGCTTACATGGCGCTGCTGTGCATCCCAGCGAAGCCGATTCGATTCGATTCGATTCCGACTCCCTGCCGATGTGGGCCGATCCGATGCACATTTCAATTCGATCCGACTTCTCGATGCGACGCTGACTGAGCATGCCCTTTTGGTGGAGGCGCGCCCCGGGAGGGGGCCGAGCGTCGATGATCCTCAGGACGTGTGTTAGCCCACTTCCAAGAAGAAGAAGAAGAAAAAGAAGAAGAAGAAGAAGAAGAAGAAGAAGAAGAAGAAAAAACGGCATCAAGATAAACTTTTGGCGCCCCGCGCTGATTTCTTGGATCCGCCGTGGGCCCCCCTGGCGGCACCTCCGGCGCCGCCCTGGTGCGCTCCGAGCGCCGGGGAGGGGGGTCCAGTGCGGATCTAAGAAATCCGCTCGGAGCGCCAAAAGTTTTATGTTTGTGTAGTCATTTCTTCCTCTATCCCGCCCTCGTCGGCCGACGTTGCAACGCCTGCGTCGTATCGAGGGGCTTCGGTGGACCAGCGCATGTTGGCGCTAGCGCAACTTTTGAGGATTATCGAAACCCAGACCCCCGACTTTTTTTTTTTTTGTGTGTGTGTGTGTCAAAGCGTAACGTCGACCCACAGAGATCCGTACCCCTTCTCCGGGACCGTTTTCGCATCCTGAGTCATTTTTTGATGGTCCCGAGGCCTGGTGGGGGCCCCCCGAGGCCGAAAACAGCGACAAGCCTCCCGTCGGGATTTTGTTCACAGCGCGAGGGGGTCCGGGTCTGAGGACCCTCGGACGTGTCGACCCCGGCGGAGAGAGGCCCCACACCTTTCCTGGGCAGGCTCCGAGGCGTGGCGCTCTCGCCGCTCCCGGCGTCTTGGGGGTCCAGCTGCCGCCGCTCCCCGGGCCGCCGTGGATCAGGAGGGGAAGACACGCACAGACACGATTCAGCGTCGGCTCCCAGGAAACTAGGCAAAGAAAAGGAAATGTGGGGGGGGGGAAGACAGACAACCCAGAGAATACAGGAAAACATGGGGCATCCCAGAAAATGTAGGAAAACCCAGAAAACAAAAAACAAAAAACCCAGAAAATATAGGAAAACCCAGAAAAATGTGTACTCATTTGTGCGTCCCGAGGCCCCTTCAGTGGAGGACAGCGGGCCCCGAGGTGCTTGTCGCCGCCCTCGGGCTCGCGCGGGGCCCTCCGCGGGCCCCGAGGCTGTCGGAGAGCGGCTCGGGACGGAGGCCTCGCCCTGGGGGCAGGCCCCGGGGGGGTCCGGGACCCGTTTCCCTCGGGGCCCGTCTTCTCCATGCCTTTCGGGCCGGGCGAAAGGGGGGGATTGGGAAAGGGGGGGTTACGAAATTTGCTGCATGCAGCTGGTTTTTCGGCTTCGCCGAGGAGCCCATTCCTCGATACATAGCCGCCTCCGGCGCCAAGAGGCGCCGGGAAAATCAGCTACGTGAGCTGATTCTCAAACCCCCCCTTTGCTATCCCCCCCTTTCGCCCGACCCGAGCCTTTTGGGGCTCCCTGGGGCCGTCGAGAGACGATTCCGGAGGGGGGGGGCGGCCGGAAGTCGGGCGGGGCTAGGACCGGGGATTCGGGGAACAAAGCTGGAGCCCCCTGGCGGCGCCTCTGGCGCCGAGGGGTTCAGCGCGGATGCAAGACATCCGCGCGGACCTCCAAAAGTTCATGTTTATGCTGCTTATTCTTCGTCCATATGATAGAGTAAACCCGAGGTAATTTCGCCCACAGCGCTGGGGATCGTGTTCATGCAGAGGCACGCCGATGCAGTTGTTTTCCTCTGGGGGATCCATGTGTTGTAGTTGCTGCGCGCAAGGAACACGACGCTGAAGCATAACCAAGGGGGCTGGGTGCGCGCTTGCCGCTGCAAAGTGCGGAAGCGGATTCCACTGGGTTGGGTCTCGTTGTGTGGTGATGTGTCATATCGCACGGGCCTTCTGGCATTACAGTGCCAGGTTGTTGCATCGTATGCCAATTCGACCGCCAATTCATATTGACGCGTTTTGCATCGTGATAAAGGAGTGGGCGCAGAGCGATCATTTGCTCGAGTCCCTGTGGAATCCTCGTTCGAGTAGGGGATTATTGCAGAACTGATTTACCCCAAAGTTGTTTTCGCTGTCGAATCTACGAGAAAAAGCGTATAATGTTCCGTGTATCTACGGAGCATTATCCGTGTTCTTCGTACATTCGATTCGCTTCCTACTCGAGTCGTGTGAGCAAGCACCGGCTCTCACGTGCGCCCTTCTCCAGCAGCCGAGACCAGCGGGATGGCTGTCAGAGGTGCTGGTCGCCGTGCCAATCTTCTTCGGTGTGTTACTTCGGCGAGGAGTCGTCTGCTTTCAGCTTGCCAGCATGTACCTGCTGCGACGGCCCAAGACGTGCACAGGCCGACTTCACACTCTCTCCCTCCCGATGATCCTCAAGACGTTTGCTGGCCCAATGCGTGCTTGCACCGTTCAGCTCCTCCAGTAGCACGCAGCCTGTGCCGGCCCTCATTTGCACCGCCTGCGTCGTACCGAATGGCTTCGGACAAGCACACGTTGGCGCTAACCCACGCTCTAAGGATCATCGACGCTCTCCCGCTCCAAGCGCTGCAGGAGTGGCGAGCTCAACCTCCGGCCTGTCGGTGCACCATCTAAATGGCGGGAGGGAGGAGGGGGGGGTGAATAGTTGTGGGGTGCGCAGAGCATGAGCAGCAACCATTGTATGATTGCTATGGCGGCTATATGTATGTATGCATGTCTGTCTTTCTATCTGTATGTATGTATGTCTGTATGTATGTGTATATGTATGTATGTATGTATGTATGTATGTATGTATGTATGTATGTATGCATGTATGTATGTATGTATGTATGTATGCATGCATGCATGTATGTATGTATGTATGTATGTATGTATGTATGCATGATGCATACATGCATGCATGCATGCATGCATGTATGTATGTATGTATGTATGTATATATGTATGTGTGAATGTATGTATGTATGTATGTATGCATGTATGCATGTATGTATGTATGTATGTATGTATGTATGGATGGATGGATGGATGAATGGATGGATATATGTATGTATGCATGTATGCATGTATGCATGTATGCATGTATGCATGTATGCATGTATGCATGTATGGCATATGCATATTGCATGTATGCATGTATGCATGATGCATATGCATGCATGCATGCATGTATGTAGTATGTATGTATGTATGTGTGTATGTATGTATGTGTGTGTGTGTGTATGTATGTATGTATGCATGCATGCATGCATGCATGCATGCATGCATGCATGCATGCATGTATGTATGTATGTATGTATGTATGTATGTATGTATGTATGTATGTATGTAGGGAATAGCGCGTTCTGTGGTCGCTTGGAGGGGAGGGGTTGGAACCGGACCCCCCCCTGGTTGGAAGGGGGGGGCGGTTTCAAACCCCTCCCCCCCCTCCTGGATGGAGGGGGAAGGGGTTCGAACCCCCCCCCTCCCGTGACGGGGGGGCTTCAACCCCCCCCCCTTGCTTCTCCTCTCCTCGGGCCGGCGGTGGTGGGTTGCGGTGGTGGTGCTGGTTGTGGCGGTGGTGGTCGTTGTGGTGGTGGTGGTGGTGGTGGTGTGGTGGTTTGTTGTGGTGGTGGTGGTTGTGGCGGTGGGTGGTGGTGGTGGTGGTGGTTCGGTGGTTTGGTGGTGGTGTGGTGGTGGTTTGTGGTGGTGGTGGTGGTGGTGGTGGGTTGTGGTGGTGGTGGTTTGGTGGTGGTGTGGTGGTGGTTTATGGTGGTGGTGGGTGGTGGTGGGTTGTGGTGGTTTGGTGGCGGTGGTTTGTGGAGGTGGTGCTGGTGGTGGTGGTGGCGGTGGTGGTGGTGTGGTGGTTTGCAGTGGTGGTGGTGGTGGGTTGTGCTGCTGGTAGTGGTGGTGGTTGTGGCGGTGGTGGTGGTGGTGTGGTAGATTGTGGTGGTGGTGGTGGTAGTGGTGGTGGTTTTTGTGGTGGTGTTGGTGGTGCTGAATTGTGGTGGCGGTGGTGGTTGTGGTCGGTGGTGGTGGCTGGTGGTGGTGGTGGTGATTGTGTGGTGCTTAGTGGTGGTGGTGGTGGGATGAGGTGGTGGTGGTGGTGGTAGTGGTTGTAATGGTGGTGGTGGTTGTAATCTGTCGCCGCTGCGCCCCCGCCGTCGCCGGCGCCAGCGCCTGCGCTGCGGGCCGCCGCCAGCGCCGGCGCCGTGGGGGGGCGGGGGGGGGGTTTTGGACCCCCCCCCCTTTGGGAGGAGGAGGGGTGGGGGTGTTAGAATCCCCCCCCCTGGGCTGCCTCTGGTCATCGTCGCTGAGTCCCCGCCGTGGGCGCTGCTGGCGGCCGCGAGCGCCAGCGCCAGCGCCGAGGGGGGGCGGGGGAGGTTTCGGGAGGGGGGGGGTTTGGGGGGGATGGGAGTCCCCCTGGTTTTGATCGACGGCGCCGAGTGTTGGGGGGGGGCCCACCCCCCGGGATTGAAACGCGCCGCCGAATGTTCCCCAGGCAAGCGCCCGTGAAACGCGCTCTCTCGTATGCATGTATGTATGTATGTATATGTGTATGTATGTTTGCATGTATGTATACATATGTATGTGTGCATGTATGCATGTATGTATGTACGTACGTACGTATGTATGTTTATGCATGTATGTATGTGTGTATGTATGTATGTATGCATGCATGCATGCATGCAAGCATGCATATTTGTATGCTTGCATGTCTATGTTTGTATGTGTATTTGTATGTATGTATATATGTATGTATGTATGAGTGTATTTATGTAAGTATGTATATATATAGATATATGTGCATGGATGTATGTATGTACATGTATGTGGATATATGTATGTATGCATGCATGCATGCTTGTATATGTATGTATGTACGTACGTACGTACGTATATATGTGTATGGATGCCTGCATGCATGTATGTATGCATGCATGCATGCATGCATGTTTGCATGTATGCACGTGTGCACGTATGCATGTATGTCTGTATGTCTGTCTTTATGTCTGTATTTATGTCTGTATGTATGTCTTCATGCATGCATGCATGCATGTATGTATATATGCGTCTATGCATGTGTGTATGTATGCATACATGAATGTATGTATGTATGCATGTATGTATATATGTATATTTGCATATCTGTATATAGGTATGTATGTATGCACGTACACACATATATACATATATGTATAGGTGCATGTACATGCATATGTATATGTACATGTGCATGTATATGGGTATGACTATGCACGTGCATACTCATATGCATATGTGTACGTATATGTATACATACATATATGTATATGTATAGGTATATGCATATGTTCAAATATATGTATATGATTATGTACATGTGTATGTACAAGTTTCTGCATACACGTGTACCTACATATATGTATGTATGTATGCATGTATGTATGTATGGATGGATTTATGTATATCTGCATGTATATAGGTAGGTATGTATACATATATATATATGTATATATGCATATTCATGCATGTATTTATGTATGTGCGTACGTACGTACGTGCGTGCGCATGTATGTTTGTATGTGTGCAGGTATAATATATGTATGTATGTAGGCACATATACGCATACATCTCTCTCTATATGTATATGTACGCATACACCTATGATATATTCGTTTCTACGCATAAGTTCGAGGACGAACATCGTGCTCGACGGTGGAGTATGCTCGTCGAGAGCCCTTGAGCAGTTCAGTGGCTGCTGCGAATGGCGGTGCCAGGTCCAGATGCAGATCCAGATCCGCGTGTCTCCCCATCTCGCTTCGCTCGTACTCCTCTGGCATCGCCTCCATAGCCGCTCAGGATTCGAGTGCCCCTCGACCGCCTCCCTCCGCCCTCCACCCTCCGCACTCCAGCGCCCGCCACGCGCGTCCGTCTGCGCCTCGCGCTGTGGAGGCCACGGCCTCCGCGCCGTGCCCCCCTGGGCACGGGCTGGGCTTCCCAGAGGAGCGGCGCGCACCACCCGAGCGCTCGCCCCGCCGGGCTTCCCCTCCCCCCCGCCCGCCCTCGCCGTCGCGCCTTCCTCCGAGGCCGTGCCGCAGATCTGCCCTTTCGGGCCAGGAGGTGGCCAGGACTCGCTGCAGATGGCACGCCGCGCGCGCGGGCCCCAGGCAGCCGGGCGGAGAGCGGGCGGCGGCCTCGGGGGGTCTCGGGAAGGGTCCAGGGCTCGAGGGCCGCGAGGGCCTCGAGGGGCCTCGAGGGGTGCGCCCTGGAGCTCGGCGCGCGTGGGGCCTCGCCCCCCGGGCGCGCGGAGCCCCCGCGGGCGCCCAGCGCGCGCGTGGAGGCCCGCCGCGCGCGCCTGGGAGCCCCGTGCGCGCCCGGGAGCCGCGCGCGCGGAGCGCGCGCGGAGGCCCTCCGCGCGCGTGGCGGGGCCCCCGCGGGCGGGGCGGGGCCCCAGCGCGGCGCGAGGGGGGGCAGCCGCTCGGAGGTGCTGCGGCTGCCGCCCGTCGCCCCTCCTCCCCCCCTCCTCCTCCTCCTCCTCGTCGTCCTCTCCTCCTCCTCCTCCTCCTCGCCTTCCCCCTCCTCCTCCTCCTCCTCCTCCTCCTCCTCCTCCTCCTCCTCCTCCTCCTCCTCCAGGGGGTCCCCAAACCGTGTGGTGACACACCGCGCGGTTTCCTCCGCCCGCTCCTCCTCCTCCAGGGTGTCCTCCTCCTTCTCCTCCTCCTCCTCCTCCTCCTCCTTCTTCCCCGAGCGGCGACCCGGGGAAGGTACGGTCGGAGCGAGGTATAATGTCGAGGCTGGTTTGGGGAGGGTACCCTGGTGTTCTTCGTGTTAGCTGGATGTTCGCGGGACTCTTCCGCGTCTGGGTGCTTTCCCCTCCCCCTCTCCCCGCGCGGCCGCCCGACTCGTCTCGTTTCCTCCCCCATGCACGCCGAACCATTCGCCTCTCGGTTGCCCCGAATAGCCACACGCTGGAGCGGACTGTCGCCGCCGACGGAACATGCTTGCTGGATGCTCTCGTGCACCCTGGGGAGGGTACCCCTCGATGCTCTGTGGGTTCTGGCCGGCGGAGGGTCTCAAGTTCTCAAGGGGTGCTCACGTGGCCCAGGTCCGACTTAAGTCACGGGAGCCTCCGCTCGTCTTGGGTCGAGAGCATCTCGGCAACTATAGTGCCGCACGGCGCTCCATCGCGCCAGCTGGCGCCCAGTGAGCAGCGCCACCGGGCGCCCTGGTGGCACCGAGCAGCGCCCAGCTGGCGCCTGATAGCGATCGGTAGCGGCCAGCGGCACCATGTGAGGGAGATGCATTCTGCCCGCCTGGCGGGCGATTTCGGCGCGCTATGGGGCCCCATGGGGACGATCAACAGTTTCCTGGAGTTGCTTTTTCACGGAAGGGCTGGGGAGCCGTTCTTCTTGTGCCGTCGAGCCTGGAGGGCAGCCCGATCTGCTGGGCAACGAGATCTATGCATGTCCACTGCCCATGGCCTCACCCGTTCTGGGCCCAGGAGCGATGCATCTGCCTCCCTGGCCAAGCCAGGAGGGCGTATACACCGCTCCCGGGCCCAGGATCGGCCAGGCCTGGGGTTCGGTAGCTAGTCATGGGATCCTGGTATACCTTCTTGTTTCCGTCTTTAGCGTCGATTCGCGTCGACTAGCGTCTGGGAGTCGATGAGCGAGCGCCGCTTTCGCGTCGGTTAGCGTCGATTGGCGTCGCTGTGGCGATTCGCGTCGATTCAGCGTCGCCTCGCAATAGCCGACGAGATGGTGTGGGAGGCTCCCGTGAGTTGCCACCGAATGCCTGGGGCGGTTGATGCGTACAGATCCCGTCGCTCTGGCTCCGTGGCGGCGCGGCGACGGCCACCCGCGTTCCTGGCGCCGCGACGGGCTCTGCCCGCAGGCGGGTGCCTCTCGTTTCCTCTCGCCCCTCGCCCTCGCTGTCGCCCTCTCCTCCCCAGGAGGAGGGAGGAGGGATGAGGGAGGACGGAGGAGGAAGGAGGGAGGAGGGAGGAGGGAGGAGGGAGGAGGGAGGCCCCCTCCCTCTCTCTTTGCCTGGCTGTCCGTCTGGCTGTCCGTCGGCCTGGCTGTCTGGCTGTCTGGCCGTCTGTCTTGTCCGCCCGAGCTACCCGACCGCGCGAGCGAGCGGATTGCATTTGCCGCGCCGTGGCGAAGCAAGAAGTTCTTTCGTTTAATTCTAACAAGTATGTGTAATGTGTGTATTTATATACACATACAACAACTTAGTATTTTTGTCTATCTCCCTTTCTCTCTTTCTCTCTTGCTTGCTCGCCCTCGTTGTGTTTGCTTGCCGCCGCGTGCCATTCTAAACGGCGGGTTTCCGTGGAACGGGGGGGTCAGTCATTGCTGCCAGTGCGCTAGGGGGTTATGGCCAACGCTGCAACGTTCTCCTCTCTTCTTTTCCTTCCTCTCTGCCCGCTCTCGAAAGGCACCGGCCGACACGCGTTCGCTTCCTTCGGGTTCGGCTTACGTGCTACTCCTAGTTTGATTGAGACGTTCCTGCGGCCTGAGCCAGAGCATCCCTTCGCCGCCGTGGACAGTATATGCGTTTCCGCGTATCCCCACTGGCCAATCCAGGAAGGATAAGCGCATAGTGAAAGGGACATGGATAAGCGCATAGTGAAACGAAGAGGCCAGCAATGGTGAACTGGCAGACCTCTGCGGACCCTTTACAGGCTCCCTCCATTTTTGGGCTCCTTTAGGGTCCTGGGGCCCTTAAGAAAGCCTTGTGGGTCTCTCCCTAGGCCCACTTTTTGGCCTTCGGGGTGCTCTGAGCCATCGGCCAAACAAAAGGGTATCTCTAATTAGGGTCCTCCCGTCGGAGCCTGACAAACAGTCTCTTGGCGGTCTCTTGGGGCGCTCTTATGGCACTCTCGGGCGCCTTTGGAGGCCTCTTGGGGTTCTCTGGGCCCCTCTTGGGGCTATCTAGAGGCCCCACAAGACCATTGGACGCGCAAAGGCGAGAAATCAATCACCAGTGAACAATGTCAGATGTTCGAGTAGTTCTATGCTCTGGGGGCGTCTTTGTGAGGCTCTGGGCCAGCCTCGAGACATCCTGCGGCCATCGTGAGGCCTACCAGAGGTACGCTGGACACTATTCAGGTGGACCCTGGACTTTCTTCCACAATCATTGGATGCCATCCTGGACTATCTGGCAGCAGCTTGACGCTTCCTGGGGCCATCTTGCACGTGCCACACTGGCCAGACCTGGGGAAGGGACTTCCCCAAATACAGTAGGGGCCCTTTCACAGGAAACCTTCCACAAGAAACCCAACCCTGAGACTCCAGGACGTCCATTGATTTTCGGTGTGGGAACTCCACGCTTTCCGTAGAAAAACCATGGAACCCCAAGAAACCCAGGGCACCCTGGATGCAAGCAGGGTGTATCTTGGCATGGGCCCCTACTGCAGAAAGGGTCAACACCTCCGGCCGGCCGTGTCCATGGTACCAGCCTGCCATGGCCCCAGGACGGACGGTCCAAGCTGTCTCCCGCGGCGGTCCAGGATGGCCTCGCACAGCAGGGCAGGACAAGGCACGGTAACGTAGGACGCGGCAAGACATGACCTGGGTCCATATTGGCCTCCGTCTTGATCGCCAAGCTGTGCCCAAACAGGGACCCGACGGTGATTGACCCGCACGGATGAATTCACGTTTCTATTTGGCAGCGTTTCGTCGTTTTGGGAGGCCAACTTGGACTGGCAGGCGAGGTTGGTTGATGTGCTCCCTGGGTTGTTGGTCGATGTTGGAGGCCAATTTTAGGTCATATTGGCACCCACTATCCGCCCAATCCCTTCCCTACATGAGTCCAAGATGATGTAAGTTAGATGCTTGATGTTATTGCGCTCTTGACGCCCTGAAGGTTGCCACGAAGGGCCCAAGACGACCCCGAGCCTCCCAATGATGGGCCCGAGAGGCTCCCCCAAGTCCTCCAGGTCATGACCTGGCCGTGACCTGGTCATCATGCTGCTGCTGCTGACCGCGTGCTCTGCAGGGCCTCCGACTCACGACGCATGCCGCCTTTGACGCCGCGGCAGCCGTCTCACGTTGCCACGCTTCGTGGCGTATTTCAGCCAGGCGCCCCTGCTGGGGCAGGTGGGCCGCTGCGCCTCCGCACGGGCCGCTCTTCGGCTTCCGCCCGTCGTCGAGGCCGACCGCGGTTGGCGGCAGGGTGGCCCCGAAGAGGGGCGCGGGCAGGCAGAGCCGCTCACGGGGACGCCCCCGGCGGCCGGGGCGGCTACCCCGACGAGGCCGACGGCGACGAGGCCTCGAACCACCCCGACGATGCAGCAGCCTCAGAGGGGAGAAGGGTCGAGGATCGAGGTTCGATTCTCGGGGTGATTGGACGCTTTGAGTGCCTCTTGGGAGAGGCGGAATGGAGAGGAGGAGGAGGAGGAGGAGGAGG